CTAATATACACTTAGAGCCCTTATCAGACTTATATAAGACTTATACAATTTCTCGGCTTTAGACAGATGTTTTTGTATTTAATATTTGAACAGTTTAGGTCGCCCAGCCCTGATCTATTGGATGAAAAGTAGTGGAATAGAAATTTCCATCTTGAAAAGTAGTGATCATCCGTAGTCACTAAAGGAGCAGACATATCCCAGAAGGCTTTGCGAGAGCTCTCCTCGTAAAGCATCATGGGATTTGCTGTGGCAGCAAGAAGGAACCAAAATGGCACAGGCACGGCACGGGGCGGTCGGATAACGTGACCAATGGGGAGTGAAAAGTAGTGATCATCTGTCCTAACGGTCAGTTAACTGAGTTCACCATGGAGTTCACTATATAGTGAACTCCAGGCTGTGTTGAGGGGTTAGGGCGGACGGTTGTACAGTAGAACAAGCAGGCTCTAGATTAAAAACAGACCACAGCTAATTACCAGGTAGCAACAGTCTGCGATAAGGCAAGGATCGCTAACAAGCTAGTGAACAGAAAATACAAATATTACAAACATGTCTGAAGGCTAACAGTAGGCTAACAGCCTGTTGTTTAAAGCATAAGAACACCAGGTTTACAGCACACTTAAGCTAGGCTAAGCTAATTTTCAGATGAAACCAACCAGCAGTCTCGTCTATAAGGAGTTAAAAGGCTAATGTTAAGCTTATGGCTGTGTTATCATGTTATCTTCAGGATGTTGTTGGATATAACAGGCCTGGTCTGCCACCTGCTGGCTGTCTGTCGTACTGCAGGTGAGGAACTGCGTGGCCATCGTCCGTCCTCCGGGTCACCACGCCGAAAGAGATGTTCCCTGCGGTTTCTGCCTCTTCAACACGGCAGCACTCACTGCTCGCTACGCTCAGAAAAACTCCCAGGATCCTCAGCTGCGGATCCTGATCCTCGACTGGGACGTTCACCACGGCAACGGGACTCAGCACATGTTTGAAGATGACGACAGGTGAGGAAGGAGAGCAATGGGGGGGGGGCATGGTGACGTGAATCTGATGGTGGGCTCTGTTTGTTTCTGCAGCGTTCTTTACATCTCACTCCATCGCTATGACAACGGGACGTTCTTCCCGTTCTCTGAAGACGCTGCCCCTGATAGGGTGGGCGTGGCCAAGGGTTCAGGTTACAATGTGAACGTGGCGTGGAGCGGAGGACGAATGGGCGACTCAGACTACCTAGCAGCCTTTCATCATGTCGTCATGCCGATCGCCACTGAAGTAGGTCTGCTATGAACCATCACAGAACTGTGGGGATTAGGAACCAGTTCATCTGAAATAAACCATAGATCTACCTGAATAGAGTTTGAAGTCCTCTGATTGGCTGTCTTCTGCTTAGTCATCTACTAACTGGTTGTTTTCTTCCTCTGCAGTTTAACCCTGGTCTGGTTCTGGTGTCCGCTGGGTTTGACGCAGCTCGAGGAGATCCTCTGGGAGGATATAACGTGTCTCCAGAAGGATACGCCCACCTCACACACATGATGATGTCACTGGCTGGGGGACGAGTCCTCGTCATCCTGGAGGCGAGTTTAGATCAGGGCGAATGCTCCTCCTCCCCTGATTGGATGAGGGTTAAAGTTCCTCCTCTCCTGATTGGATGAGGGTTAAAGTTCCTACTCTCCTGATTGGCTGAGGGTTAAAGTTCCTCTTCCCCTGATTGGATGAGGGTTAAAGTTCCTCCTCTCCTGATTGGATGAGGGTTAAAGTTCCTACTCTCCTGATTGGCTGAGGGTTAAAGTTCCTACTCTCCTGATTGGATGAGGGTTAAAGTTCCTCTTCCCCTGATTGGATGAGGGTTAAAGTTCCTCCTCCCCTGATTGGATGAGGGTTAAAGTTCCTCCTCCCCTGATTGGATGAGGGTTAAAGTTCCTCCTCCCTGATTGGCTGAGGTTTAAAATTCCTCCTCTCCTGATTGGCTGAGGGTTAAAGTTCCTCCTCCCCTGATTGGCTGAGGGTTAAAGTTCCTCCTCCCTGATTGGATGAGGGTTAAAGTTCCTCCTCCCCTGATTGGATGAGGGTTAAAGTTCCTCCTCTCTTGATTGGCTGAAGGCTAAAGTTCCTCCTCTCTTGATTGGCTGAAGGCTAAAGTTCCTCCTCCCCTGATTGGCTGTCTTTGTCTCCTCAGGGAGGTTATAACCTGACATCAATCTCTGACTCCATGGCGATGTGCACCAGCGTGTTGCTAGGAGACCCTCCTCCATCGCTGGTGACGCCCCTCCCCCCTCCTCATCACTGCGCCGTGGCAACAATCAGGGAAGTTATCCGACAGCACCTCCCCTACTGGCGGTCCTTGAGGATCCAGGGTGGGTTTGGGACCTGGACTGAATCGGGACTTGGTTAAAACTTTGTTTTCTGTGTAATTGATGTAATTGTTCTCCTTTCAGTTCCAGAGTCTGTGCAGGAAGCCGTGCCCTCCCCAAAGCATCGTGGGAAACGTAGCTCTCAAGGCAGGAAGTCAGAAAAGCCACCCTGTGTTGGAGCGGTCTCTATGGTAACAATCTGGTTGAAATAAGTGATTTCCTGCTAAATCAAGTAAAGAGCCACATGACTCGTCTCATCCAATCAGACGGAGCACGGTCTGGAGCAGCTCATGCAGGGATTGGCCAGTCTAGACATCCATAAAACCTCTGCCAATCAGGACAAGGTCAAGCCTTCCTCCACCCCACCAGAAGCGGCAGCAGTGAAGGTGGAAGGTGACATGAAGACTGAGAACAGCCAATCAGCAGAGAGCATGCAGCCTCAGGTGAGTCATCCCATCGCCGTTCTCTCTGATCTCTACCCTTAACTCTGACTACTTCCTGTTTTCTGTCAGAGCGTGACGGCAGCAGCGAAGGCGGACCAAGCAGGGACTGACCCTGAAGCAAGGGCGGAGTCAGGAAGAGGGGAGGAGCCTTTGGACGGCTCAGGGGCGGAGCCAGAGGAAGAGGGAGCCTGTGGTTGGTCCAAGCCTCAGGTGTCTCTGGAGATGACATGCAGCGCTGAAATGGGCGGAGTCAGTAAAAACGAAGCGGCTTGTCAGCAATGAGCTTAAGGAATGCGATGGTGAAGCCGTCCCTCTGTCTCTCCTCAGGACACTCTGTACGTGGTGGACCCCCTGCCCTGGTGTCCTCACCTGGATGCTGTCAAGCCTCTCCCACATTCTGGCATAGACGTCTTCCAGCCGTGCGGCGACTGCGGTTCCGACGCCGAGAACTGGATTTGCCTGACCTGCTACCAGGTGAGCTGGTCCTCCCGTCCCCTTGCCGCCGGCGGCGCCGTGGAGGATAACCTCAGCTGTTTGTCTGCTGCTCTCCAGGTGTGCTGCGGTCGCTACGTCAATGAGCACATGGTGACACATGGCGCCACGTTGGAACACCCGATGGTCCTGAGCTTCTCGGATCTGTCCGTATGGTGCTACCTGTGCGAGTCCTACGTCCACCACCAGGTGAGGCGTCATCGATGATGATTGAGGAAGCAGAAGGTTCTAGTCAGGCTCGGCCCGCAGTGAGACCGGTTTGGGTTGCAGGTCTTGCAGTTAGAGCAAAGGTCACGGATTAGCGGACCAGGGTCTGGATCCAGACCCCCCTTTCTAGCTAATCCGGACCCAACCGGATTTAAAACATTTATAAATTACCGCATGATGTCTGACGACATCTGTCACACTGTCTAAATGTTA